ATTTTATCTGCTAAACCTACCCCCTTCCCATTAGCATTCACTATGTTAGGCCTTCCTTCCTTCCTTCCTTTTCTGGATTTCAGATGTTTAAATTTGTTACCTTCATTCCCTGCACCCCAGATCCCAGCTCACATGGAGGGGCAGGGAGAGGGCCTGAGACAAGAGAAGCAGGGTTCCCAAGATCCCAGAGCACACAATGGGTGGAGGATGGCTCAGACCCCTACAGAAGGATAGGACTCCCCCTGAGCCCAGCACACACATGTAAGGGGTGAATTCAGGGCTGATAAGGCCCCCACTCCTAAACCTCCAACTTCCTCTGCTACCTCAAATTCACCAGCCCCTCCCATCTTCTCCCCTTCCCCGAGCCCCCAACCCCTCTTCCCACCCCTACACACATTCCCATTATTCACCTCCTCATAATACCCCCTCCCTCATTGCAGACTGTGACCAAATGCACCCATGTATTCACACCCTACACACCATTGTAATCTCTAGCCAGGTGTCAGCAAACTTCATTGGCAATTACCTGTCCAGTGGACATTCTTTGGCAAGGAAGGGGGCAGGAAAATATTGAGGTGTATTTTAGCAAACAACAGCATGGAACCTCTTTAACCAGGAGATACCATAGGAAGGAACTTTATGTAGGGGTAAACCTCAGGAAAATGCATTTCAATGCAGCACTGGACTATAAAATTGAGGGACAAATTACCCTTGGGATTCTCTCGCTCACTCTTTCACCTGAGAAGACAAAGGAAACAGCCCTTTGGGGGCAGATGCTGATTTAAGAATTTGGTCAGCTATCTTGCTGGAAATATGTGGTAAGAATTTTACTTTGAACCAAGTCTAATTTGTTAAATTTAGTTACTAGAAAGCATTTATATTTATTTCTTTTGTAACTGTTTCTGACTTTAATGCCTTGTACTCACTTAAAATCTATGTCTTTGTAGTTCAATAACCTTGTTTTATTCCTTAATTGAAACTAATCCAGCATTGTGAATTGTTTGGGTAACTCCATTTAAAGTAGCAGACTGTTGTATATTCTTCCCTTGCAGGGGCAACGGACCTAAAATATCTAAACTCTCCAGGTGAGGGCTGGACAATGCAGGACACATGTTTTGGGGGGAAATTCAGGACTGGGAGTGCATTGGGGTCACCCTGCAAGTGGTAACCAAGGCTGGTGGAAGCCAGAGTGTGACTGGTGTATTGCTGACAGGCTGCTGGGGTCAGAGTTGCTGGACCAGGACTGTGGCTATTCACAGACACTCAGGATATGACCTGTGAGCTAGCAAGCTGTTTGTGAGTGGCCCAGGTTGGGAGCTACAGCAGCAAAGCACTGTGAGGCACCCCAGGTTTCAGGGCAGGTGGTGACACAATCCCTCGTTAGTCTGGATTGCACCCATGAATGAGAGCCAGACCCAAACCCTTCTTCCCCTATTCCCACCTATTCTTGCATCCCTGATCACCTTCCCCGTCCAGGGATCATGTGCTTATGTAGTTTGTTTTCAAAACAGTTTAAACATTTTCTGAATATTCTGCTGTATTCAGATTACACTTCCTCAAAATAATAATTAAAAAAAAACTTTGGTGGAGGCAGATTGGAGCAATATGCTTACTCTTTTACTTCAGAATTCTGCCCAAACTGGATTTGAACTTACAGTGCAGTGCTCAGATTCAATAAGCCGAATATAGCTCCTGTTACGTAGAAGTAGTTTTCCAGATGGTTAGCCTCTCTCTGTGCACGTGCTCAGTGTAATCTGTTAGGCATGCGAATAGGCAAATAAGCCTTCCCAAGTATCTAAATGGAGAAGCAAACTCTTTTAATCTGATTTCCTTAAAGGGGCTGATGGTTGCCAGGCACTCTGGTGGGCAATGGAGACCTTGGTGTGAAGATCTGAGCCCTGGTTTGCTCACTATCTGTGAGCAAAAAAGGTTACCAGAATCTGTCAACCTTTAAAAAAAAAAAAGATTTTCCCTGGGTGCTGTATTTCAGGAACCCCTTGGTTAAACGCCCCCAAATTTGGATCACTGCCCTTAACTTGCACCTCTGTGAGGCATCCCAAATTTCAAGGCAATTAGATAACTGTACAGATTTTAGAGCATTTAGAACAGAAAGTTGGTTTTGACCTTAACTACAGCAGACCTGTTTCTTTGCTATAATAAAAAATAATAATGGCAATTAATAATAAAACAACACACTGCCAAAAAGAAGACAGTCCACTGCATATGCTTCTTCCTTTGGGAAGAGGATGAGAGAACAACCAACATGTGAGAGATGACTAGTCACATGGCTTAATGGACTGCTGGAAGGTGCTCAATCTGTGGTATAAAAACATATATAGAAGAGAACTAAACTGACCCTCTGCTGCACTCAGGATCAGGAATGCACACCTTGGCTGGACCCAGAGATCTGGGCTTGTACTGTAGTGATACATGTGCCCCAGAAGCCAGAGTTAAGGCTGGCTGCAGAACATCAGCTTCTCTTTGCAATCTGAACATCATTAATGTATTTTTTGGTGTAATTGGGGGTAGTTGGGGTTGAAAGTTTCTATACAGTTGTCAGACTTTTCCCACTCCTCTCCCAAGCAAAACAGTTTTGATTTCCAACCTTCCCTGTTTTCTCATTTATATTTCAGGGGAATTTTACCAAAGCTTCTATATTGGGACAGAGAGTCAGAATGCAGCCTGTGCCCCTGCATAGCCTCTCAGAGCTGGAGAGAGCCTGTCTGCAAGAAATCGCCTTTTACCAGCTGCAAAAAAAGAACATGATCAGTGGTATCAGCCTTTCTAAAGGTAAAGAGAGGAGACATGCCTTATCTAAGGGCAATGGACTCCATCAGTGGTTCTCAACCAGGGCTCTGGGGCCCCCTGGGGGGCCACGAGCCTGTTTCAGGGGGTCCATCAAGAAGGGCTGGCATTAGACTTACTGGGGCCCAGGGCAGAAAGCGGAAGCCCCACCACATGGGGCTGAAGCCCGGGGCTCCAAGCTCCGCCATCCAGGGCTGAAGCCAAAGCCTAAGCAATTTAGCTTTGTGAGTCCCCCGTGGCATGGGGCACTGAGCAATTTCCCTGCTTGCTACCCACTAACGTGTGCCCTGGCTTTTATATGCAGAAAAACAATTGTTGTGGCACAGGTGGGCCGTGGAGTTTTTATAGCATGTTGGTGTGGCCTCAGAAAGAAAAAGGTTGAGAACCCCTGCACTACATAATTCTAGTCATTGTCATTATCTATTACTGCTGCTGTTTTTAATAATAATGATAATATATTGGTTGACATTTTGGACATCTCTGCACAATTGTTTCTTGGTTTTGAACCCAATTGTTACTGCTTTGGGTCACAGCCATCCTCACTGCATGAGCCCTGCTAATAGGACTTGCACTTCCTTTGGAGCATGGGAACATGACCTTGCCTGTTCTCTGCCTATGACATGATCCCACACAGATGTAAACACTTCTGGCAGATTCTTCAAATGGGAACAAATTAATCCATGTTGGTTGGGACAGATTCTCTCTGCTCTGCTTTGGAGAATCCTGGAGTTCAGCACAGTCTTGGTTCTAGGAGATTGATGCTTAGTTAGACTTATTAAAATACACAACTAGGAAATGTCACTAATACAATTTGACAGATAAATATAGCAGATCCACAGAGACAGTTTCTCTGCATCTTGGCATAAATAGGAGCCGCCAGACTAAATGAGACCAGACCAGGGCTCCAGCTACTCAAGTATCCTGCCTCTGACAGTGGCCAGTGAAAGCTGCTGCAGAGCAAGGTTCAACAAATTCTATGGTGGCAGCTGTGGAATAGCCTGGTCGCTGGGAAAGTTTCTTCTTCACCTCATCAATTAGAGTTTGGTCTATGCGCTGAAGCAGGAGGGCTTAAAGCCCTTCCAAAGCATTTGGTTATTTATTTCATCCTTTCTATTACAAACCCTGCTGTTCTTAGCCATTAAATAGCCACTCCTCCTCAGAACCCTACTAAGATCCTGGTCTCAATGGTATCTTGTGGCAGTGAGTCCCATATGCTATTTCTGCATTGTGTGAAAAATATTTCTTTGTATCAGTTTGGCATCTGCTGCCTTTCATTCATGGCATCCCCTCGTTCTTGTGGCAGGAGAGCAGGGGTGAGGTGCACACACACACACAGAAAGCAACATTAGGAACACTGAGCCTTAAGGTGGTTCTGAGTAATCAGACTGTCAATTTGATAAGGGTACATGAAAACTCTGTGAGCACAAAAAAAACCAGGAATGATGATTAGTGGAATAAATAACCAAATTTTTTGTTAATTGGATTTTTACAGGTACCACTGGATATATATTAATAGTTAGACTGGGGTATACAGTTACTACATGTGCTTGTAGAACCGTTTGAACTTTATTTAGGGTAAAATTTACCAATTTTTACCATGCCATTAATTGCTTCTCCCCTTCTGTAACATTTTCCCACAACAACTTTTTGATTTCCAAAGGCAAATTTCCTTGCATACCTTCCTGAATTATTTGAATAACTAACTGCTGACTTATTTCCCGGGCCTGTGAACAGGCTAATGCTAAGGATACATTTTCTTGTATTGTATCCATAGTCCCTGCTAAAAGTAACAGATTCTTTTTCCCTTGCTGTTGCCATACTGGCAGTATTTTAGAAAATAATTGTTGCTCCATTTCTAATTTTGACAAGGATGCACTGATGGGCTTTTCCAATTCTTGTATATTAGCTGTAACATAACTTCATTTGTTTGCCATTACCTCTATGTTAGTAGCATCCAGTACTTCAACTCCTAATCCAGTTTTACCCAAAGCAGTTTAATACACTTCTTGGGAGCCTTTTTTTTCACCCCTCCTGGCTGCCAGGCAAATCCAATAACCTTTAGTAGTTTACATTGAGATAGTATTAGGGCAGCTATACCTTCACTGTGCCTTTATGTACTGCCCCTTATAGTAATCAGGGAAGGTGTTGCAATGCCCTTCCTTTCCTTATATTCAATTTTATACCACACCCAGGTGCGTTCACCTGGGCTTGCGTGCTGGAAGTTGATTAATACTTGCCAATTATTACTGATTTTTTTCCCCAAGCAATCAATGTTTTTACATGCCCTTTTTTTCCCTTGGTAATTTCACTTTGTGCTTCAAAATTTTTTATGTGCATCCTTTTATTTCCACCAACAGATAAACCCTGTGTTTCATGCATATTTTGCCTTTAAATGTGCGTTTACCACCTAAAGATGTTTCCCTGTTAACAGACTGGCATTCCTTGACCTCCGCCCTTTTGCAACATTGTTTTTTTGTAAATACAGTTAAAATGCTTATTAATCCTTTTTTGTCTAATGCAGTGTCCTCTCTTTTTGTAACACAATACACAACAATGCTAGCAACAAGACAAACACCACAAAACAAACATAAAACATAAAACACAAAACACAATTTTCATCGCAACAGTAGATCCATGGTATTCAGGGTTGCTCTTCAGCTGGTACCAGCTTTTCCTGATTTTTTGAAAGTCAAAAATAATATGTTTCTACCTCTTTTGGGGTAGCAGATTATTGCTTAAAATATCCCTTTCTTTTACAAATACCCTTGCTGATTGCAGGCAAAACAGAGGAATTACCCCCATACTTGCTTGTGTTTTTGTTCTATAGGCAGGCCAGGTTTAATGGCTTTTGCCCTTTAAGGGTGAATTATCCCACTGTTCAGTTATTCAATTCATGAGGTGGTGTACCCCAGTTTCCCTTTTCATACAGCAGACCAGGTTTCTAATGTTTTTTCTACTGTGCTAAGCTTTAAGTTTATTTACAGGTAATAGCTGAGAAGCATTACCCTATGACCTTAAAGGTTTTTTCCAAAAATCATACACACTATACATTGTTACAGGGGTACTTATTAACATTAAATTTATCCCAATGTTTAATATTATCAAAAACATTAGCATTAAATCTATTAAAGGTATCTTGTTATACCATGCCTTTTTATTTAGACAATTTGTTTTTGAGGCCAGTGTGTTAAATGTTTTTTTTGAAATTTTTGCATAGGCTTTTTAATTTAATTATATCCTTGGGGTTTTGGTGAATTAAAAGGTAGGGGTGTCATGCATATAAGCAAACCCCTTTTGAACCTGTCTTTAGATTTCAGCACTGTGCATACACACAAAAAAGTATTTATTTTTCTACTTAGGGTAACCTGTCCCTCTTATTCTTAGGGTTGGCTTCTTTTTTCATCTTTCTCTGGAGGGTCATAATTTGAGCCTTTTGGTTTCAGGTAGTTTGTTTGCTGACCAGGTATGTCCTTTATCTGCAGCTCCTTTGTGCTGCCATTTATGGGCAGTTCTCTCCTTCCTCTTTCAGTTAGGTAATTTGCAACAACACAGACACTTTCTGGCTTGCTTTTGGATCCAAAGCCATCAGCAGAACTCAGAGACTCTGTCTTAAAGGGGACATAATCAACTTCCATCAGAGTTTTGATTTCTTTCCACTTTCAACTCCTGCTTTCAAAACACACAGAGATCTGAAAAAGAAAACACAACCTATTGTGGCTCCCTTTGGAGCCCGAATAGGATTTTAATTAAGTGGTATGTTTTGTTTGCATTTCTTTTACCCCTTCTACAATATACACTGCCCATGTCCTGGGGAAAATGCACATTCCTTCCATAGTTTAACTATTATAACATTAGCCATATCAATTTTTATATATGGTGTAACTGTTTCTTTTGTGCTTACAGAGTTTTCATGTACCCTTATCAAAGTGACAGTCTGATTACTCAGAACCAGGGGCGGCTCCGGGCACCAATGCACCAAGCATGTGCCTGGGGTGGCAAGCCACAGGGGAGCGGCCTGCTGGTTGCCATGAGGGCGGCAGTCAGGCTGCCTTCGGCGGCATGCCTGCGGGAGATCTGCCGGTCCCGCGGCTTCGGCGGCAATTTGGCGGCGGGTATGCCAAAGGCGCGGGACCGGCGGACCGCGCGCAGGCATGCCGCCGAAGCCTGCTCCACTGCCATGCTTGGGGCGGCAAAATACATAGAGCCGCCCCTGCTCAAAGCCACCTTAAGGCTCAGTGTTCCTAATGTTGCTTTTTTTTTTTGTGCACCTCAGCCCTACTGTTGCTCCAGAGGGGCACTGTCTTTTTTTTTTTTCTTAATTTCTTATTTTTTTACTACAGGTCTTATCTGCTATTTTGTTACAAATCCAGAATCTCTTCCCATTCTCCTGGGTTTGACTGCCCTGCTGCAGCCACGACTTTGGTCTTTAAAAAGATATTGAACTTGATAAAGCATGGAGGTACCATAAGGATTAAATGCTAAATACCAAAGCCAAACAACACTAGTTACCTGTGTCTGGCAAAAAGTGTCTGTCAGTTTTGCTACTTTGAATGAAAGATTCAAGTGGATTTTAATAGCATTATTTAAAACAAAATAAAACCAATTCATCTTAAACCTACAAACCAGGAGTGTTGATTTAGATCCTTAAAACCTCTCATATTTACACTATATATATATATATACACACACACACACACAGAGAGAGAGAGAGAGAGATACATACTCTTCTGTACTTAACACTCCCTTACACTGTAC